AGAGAAATAAAAAAAAAAAAAAACACTGACAACGCTCTGATTGGTTGAACTCCTCATCTTTTCTGTTGCTTGTTTACTGCGCGTGGACAGGTCACCGGGTTTTTGCGTAGTTTAAAGTGACAAATCGTACCAGCGTACTTTAAGGTCAAAATGCGTACCCGCTACGCAAAATGCGTACAGGTTGGCAGGTCTGCATTATACAAATTTGTGTCCTCATAAATCACAGAAGCACACACACACACACACACACACACATATACTAACAGTCAAATTCTGGAATAATTCATGTTTTCAAAAGGAATCTCATGCTCACCAAAGTTGACTTGATCAAAAACAGTAAAAATATGAAGAACTATTACAATTTAAAACAACTGTTTAATAAAGTGCTATATATTCCTGTGATAGAAAATCTAAATTATCAGCATTCATTTCTTCAGTGTCATGTCTAATATGCTGATTTGGTGCTCAAGAAACATTTGTTATTATAATCAATTTAGAGAACAGTTGTGCTGCTTAATGATTTTGTGGAAACTGCTAAAAAAAAAAATTCCCAAGATTCTTCAAAGAACAAAAAAGTGGGCTTTGGGTTCAACTCAAGAGCAAATCTATGCTGTATGCTGTACTTCACTGTAGCTGACTCTGACTGTTTTATGTAGATTATTTTCAAGTAGCCAGTGTTTCTCAACTAGTCAAGCCTAGCAAGTCTAGCCAAGAGGGCCACAGTAAGCTTTAAATTTAAGTTTAGTTATATATAGTTATAGCATAATATTAATAACAACAATTACAACGCTTAAAAAAAATAAAAAATAAAGATGCACAACATTAAACTGACATTTTTTACACTTTATTTAGCATGTGTATTTGGGTGCAAAGCTTTATACAAAACACCACCTTGTGCCCCATCTGCTGGTGCACCTTGGGTAAATGTTTTACATCTATAACAAATATAACAAGTTTTGATTCACAAAGCTTTTAATGCCATGTCTGGGCTACTAATTTTCTTCACTTGTTGCAACCTGTAACAGGCCCTCTACATAGAACCATAGTTAAAGTGCAGTTGTGTATTCATTTACTTATTTACACAGTTACTGTTCATAAATGGCATGTGACTAATCACACTGAAGGTGCTGGACAATGACGTCACGACAACACCGATTGGTTAATGGCACCTTAAGAACTCACAGGAAGCAATGTTTCAGGACGTTTACAGGTTCTGGCAAGATTTTAAGAAGTTATGAACAAACATTACAACAGTAACAAATTCAGTCAGTTTCACTAAACTTCTTATAAAAATTCCCTTTATCTGGAGTAATACTGATATATTTGTAATAGAGATCTTACAGACAGTAGACTACATAACAGCTACTTCATCAGGAGCACCGAGGAGGATGTGATTCACACAGTGTCCAGCAGAGGGCTCCTACAACCAACGAGCATGTAAACATTTGCTGAGTATTACATGTTTGTGCACATGTATGGATTAACTGCTTAGCTGGCGTTATAGTTAGTTGAAGATACAATCGGTATTTACTAGAGGATAGATTCATTTGCAAACATTTCTCCTGTTTGGCCAAAAAAAAAAATGCATGTCATATCACATTTTAATGGTGGCCCCTTTATGATTTATAATTTTATGATATCTTTATGATTGATATATTCATAGTCTTTTATATATATATATATATATATATATATATACTTTTTTTTTTTTTGCAACAAAAACAAAAACACTGGATGGTGGAAGATAACCAGTTGCCTTCATTTTTCATCGGATATTTACTTAGTGTAATCTTCACGGTCACAAGGCTGGCTCCTTATTGCTCCTTATTAAGATCCAGCAACTAATGTGCATTAAAAAAAAAAAAAATAGTAAAGAGGGTGGGGAAGTGATCAATTTCCTGCTATGACCAGCAGAGATAACACACTGCATACCATCACAGGGTCAAGAGTCAACCTCTGCAAAACAGGGCACTGAAAGATTAGTAAAATATTTCTTTCCACCATACATTTTTTGTGTAGTTTTGTAAAGAAAAACTAATAAGAAATAGAAACCAGTTTTCAAAGCCATATAGAGGGCTTATGAAGAGGCACTTTTGTTGGAACTGGCTCTCTGGGCTGCTTGACGACGACAGTGCAGGTAAACATAAAGAGGGTTGATGAAGGCCAGGAGACTCAGAACGGTCAGACCGATGTTCACCTAGAGAAATCAATTATTACAGTTTAATCAACACTCGATCTAAAACGGGCTTTTTAAAATGTCAGAAATTCTTTGAATAAACAGTTCTTTTGTTTTTTTCTTGATGGGTGTGTGAACAGAACATAACCATTTCAAACTTCTCAGAAAAATGACAAATATGCTGAATCTTTGTCTGCCAATCAAATGCCTTTCATTGCTTAGGACTAGAGGATTTCAAAAGATAAACAGCTGTTTCTTATTCTGAAGCTGACTCCAACCTTTTTCTTCCTAAGAAATAGAAAAATGGGAGTTGTTTGTCAGACTTGAATAGGCTAATGTTAGAGAAACAAGTTCCAAGGAAAGACAAAGCCATAGAAATAAATAAGAATAAAAAACTAATCAATAAACCATAATCAATATTTCTGTGCAGGGTGCGAACTACGGGGGAGCTAGGGGGAGCTCGGCCGTTGGTCATGTGAACTCAAAGACAGCCTGATGCTTTGTTTATAGACTATTTGTGGGTGGCTGTTTGTTGTTTCACCTATCAATTCGTGTCGATAAAGTATAATAGGGTAATCCTGTATAGTGATTTATCCTATATAGCGCTTGCATAAAGCAAGTAGTTATGTTATGTATCTTTGTAAGTCATTGTAAGCCTACATTGTAAGCCTACATTCACGCCCCGCCCCCCCCGTTAAAAAAAACAAAAAACAAGTGGGCTCCCCCAAAGTCCACGGTATAGTTCAAACACTGTTTCTGTGTACATATCTGCAATAATCACACACTATGAAAGCTAAAACATGATCTCCACTGGAAGGTTATAATACAGTTGGGTCATTTGCTCACATACGGTATATGTTTATTTTAATCTAAAGTTGTGGTCACATTTATTGTTGTTCTGTGAAATTTCACAGGAAAAATCCTGTCATTTAAATAGGAATCAACATAATCAGTCATTTCACGTGAGAGCGAAAGATTTTGCAGTGCAGATTTTGTTCAAGTTGGATTTTCTGAATTGAACGTGACTTCTACGTGAACTCATATATCGCTACACTATTGACAAGAGACAATGGATATTTTTTTGCCAGTGAAATTTTGCTAATGTGACCTCACCTTATCACAAAATGCACGTACGTGTGGGAAGGACAAACTAAAAGCATTCAGAAGCTTACATAAAAAGGGTCTCCACCCAGTGGTCCTTTAATGAGGGTGAAGCAGGGATACTGGAGCAGCGAGACCACAGCTGAGAGAGCCATCACCGTTCCATATAGCTTTCCGAAGTGTACGGATGGAAACCTGAAAAATAAAAAAAAACTATACCTTCACAAACATATTCACAATTATACATAAACTACTAATACCTGTACTTGCAGATAATCTAATATTAATGAAATAAAGGGCCACTTAAGTGTACTTAGAGACTACACTGTCATGACTGGATTTTAACACCGTTAAATACACATTTTAAAAATGCACTTTAATAATGTCCAGTTAAATGTTTTACTTTAAAGTACATTTTAAATCATTTTAATAACCTTTTGTCATGCTTTAAAGAAGTACACTTTCATTTGTTGATGTGTTGACTAACATACTAATACACATGCAACGTACTTGATTTTAATTTTTACCTGTAGTGTGTTATTTGATATTACAGTTAAAGTGAATATATCTGAAATGCATTAAATTGCAATTTCATTGTTACTAATGTGAAATTACAAATATATTAGTATGTGACATAAAGGTTTCAACAGAAATTACATTAAGGTATCGTTTACTTTAATGACAATATAAGTAATTATGAAATGACATACTTAAAGTAGATATACTTAAAGTCCTACTTAAGTGTGTCAGTTCATATAACTGCATTTAATATAAATTTAAAATAGAATACATTTTCATTTAATTGTAAATAACATGCAGGTAAGTGTCTGCACACATTAAATTCTGTTCACACTTATTTTAAGATATATTATTTTCGAAAAAAATGTAAAAGTATGCTAAAGTGTATTTCTTTTTCACAAGAGTAATATACATCTAACTTGTTATTTACCCTAATGTAATTTCAAAATATGTATATTTTTTTCCCTTTCTTTCTTAAAATGGTTTTATTTTATTTCTTTAGGATATTTCCTTTTGGGATTTATCAACTAAATAAAGTCATACAGGTTTGTACAGGTTTTTTCATATTTGGGTGGACTATCCCTTTAATGTTCTTATGGGTCTGTGATGACTCACGCCACACTGATGAAAGCAGCATTTCCTCCGTAGAGGAAGGATCTGTTGAGGACTTGCAGGATGAAGGTGAGGTACAGCAGAGGAAGGATGGGGGTGGCGGCACACACTGAAAACAGCACACACTGCAGCGCCGTCAGCGACAGAGACAATATGGCTGCCTTCAAGTCTGCCTCTTGTTCACTTTGTCCTGTATAGCACAGTATTTGAAAAATTAATTTACACTGTCAGAAAAATAAGTGTGATTTTTGTAGGCATTTTATTAAACATTAAATAAACTGCTTTTATGTTATCATTGAACTAAAGCAATTTGTTGCAATATTTTATTTATATGGTATATATGATCAACAATATTAATTAAATACCGATTTAAATTCTGTAAAATCATTATTTTTTCTCTTAAATTCTTCACGGGGTTGGGAAAGGATTTTACTATTAATTAAATAATAAGTAAATTTGACTATTTATTAAATAATATTTTTAACTCAGTAGTAAATATGAATATAATGTTGTTATTTAATACATTTTAAATAGTTCTTCTGCAAATAAATTATTAAAACAAATCAAACTTACTAATGCCTCCCCAATCTAATTTGTGTAAAAGTTGTTGTGTGACAAATCTGCATTTTAGCAGATAATAGCCTATACAGTATATACTGTTTGTCTGTTGCATAAATGGATATTCAGCATTTTTTTTTTTTACAAAGTACACCAACTGTAGATAAATCTGGACCTAACCAATGATGATGATGAAAAAGATGATAATGCTAATGCCATGCTTGATGACTATGACCCGGACAATCTCATAAAGGTGATTCAGATAGCAGCTCAGTGTTCTACATTTATGTCAGGAATTTAATAAATGCTCTTTTTTGGTCTAGGGAGTGAGTTTTCTAATGTTTTCATATAATGCATACTCAATACTTCCAAAGAAAATTTGATTTTTCATCATATGACCCTAAGGAAATGTGTGCATTTATGTGCTGACCTGGTTCTCGCTGCTTTCCTTTGTGGCGATCCATGATGAGACCATTCCAGGGGGCACACAGGATCCCACACAGCTGAGTAAATGCAAACGCATTTGTGTATCTACTGACTGTGATCAAAAACAACATGACTGTTTACAGCCGAGAAAATGACAAAAACTCAAGCTCATGAGTTTACACACATGACACAGTCTGAGCCTGTTGGCATGTCTATATCTGTTCATACTGCTCAAAGGCATGGCTTCACCTGCCCATAAATAGCTGGACATGAAGATAAAGAGACTGTGTATCTGTGTGGTATGTGTGTGTATACCAAGGCCTGGGTCTCCAGCAGCCAGATGATTCAGCATCGGGTTTAAGGTCCCGATGAACAAGTAGTGTCTCAACTGCATCACTGAAAGCCACAGCAGATGCCACAAGAAGAACCAGGAAAGCAAACAGCTCTTGAAACTTCGCTCTGACAAAAACACATACATTCATGATGTTGACACACTTCACATGATATATTTCACAATGAAGTATTAGTAAAAGTAAAAGGGGATAGGAACATGTAATGCAAGTGCTTAGTCACAATAGCAGAGAAAATTCAGGACAATAATGTGGCTGTTGACTGTTGTTTCAAGCACATTGCAGATAGGAATACATACTTAGATAGGAAGTGACTATAAAATCACTAGTAAATGCATTGTAAGAAATATCTTTACATCCTTCAGTTTACAGAAAATGTAATGATAACCAGCATGATAATACAGATGGTAAAACTGATAAATCAAAGTTAATCATAAGCGGCCTGTCCAGAAAGAAAATTAATTTATAAAATATAATCATATGTGATGTGTCACGCAGGCACTGGGAATGTCTTTTTATTATTTTCCACCATGAATTCTGTGGTAATTCATAGATTTACAATACTTGCGATAACCATACATTTGACAGTATTTTACAGTAAAATTGCATATAATATGATCTTAAGCCATTTACAGATATTCACCATATATGATAACATAACTTAGAGTAAACAAATTAATAGGTTTTGACTAACATTTTTCAATAAACATTACAGCCCTTTTTTACAGTGTATGTTACATTGTAGTTTTAGGTTTGTTTGTTTGTTTTTTTTCTTAAACATGTGTGGGCTATTCTGACAGTCATCTTTATACTGCAAAGGTATATAGTAGACACAGCATATGTATTATAAAAAGGTGTGTTTAGTGGCACCGCTGTGAAGTGTTGAACATGTCCTTACCCATTTTGTCTGTGTTTTGGCCTTGAGGAGAAGTCTCTTTAAATGGCATTTCCTCCTCAGACTGGGAAGTTTGTATGTTTTTCTCTTCGACCTTTGCAACTGTATAATCCCGAGTCCCTCCACATTTCATCCTACCACAGTAAATAAGAGACAGACACAGGCAAAGCATTGTTAGAGGAAACATATCCGGTATAGACAGTGAAGCATAAAGTCAATCTGTGAAGAACAAGCATTCTGAATACCATCATTCTGAAGTAGGTATTTCACCTTAAAAAAACAAGACAGAGGGAGAAAAAGACAAAAGAAATGAGTAGATAATATGAAATAATTCTTTCATATTATACTGTACATTCATGCCCTTCCTTTCATTGCAAAAACACTTGAACGAGCTGTATTCAACTAAGTCTCTGCCTTTCTCACACAGAACAACCTCCTCGACAGCAACCAGTGTGGTTTCAGAAGTGGACATTCAACCGAGACTGCCTTGCTCTCAGTTGTTGAAGCCCTAAGACTGGCAAGAGCGGA